TAGATTGCTACATGTTGGCCTGCAGGAGATAGTACCATACCGTCAACACTTGACATCACTATCAAAAGGTACCACCTCTAGCCATCAAGCTCACATCCGTCCCCTAATTCACACATCTCCTATCCTTTTCCCTCGCTGAACTTTTCGATTTACCCTCTCACACCTACCCTTGCCCTACCATCTTCCTTTCCTCTCACCATGCTTTCACTCCCCTATCCATATCCCTTGCTGAAAATTTCACTATACCCTCTCACTCCTACCTCTGCCCTACCATCTCTCCTTCCTCTCACCATGCTTTCACTCCCCTATCCATATCCCTTGCTGTAAATTTCACTATACCCTCTCACTCCCACCTTTGCCCTACCATCTCCCTTTCCTCTCACCATGCTTTCACTCCCTGTCCATATCCCCTGCTGTAAGTTTCGCTTTACCCGCTCACTCCTACCTCTGCCCTACCATCTCTCCTTCCTCTCACCATGCTTTCACTCCCCTATCCATATCCCTTGCTGAAAATTTCACTATACCCTCTCACTCCTACCTCTGCCCTACCATCTCTCCTTCCTCTCACCATGCTTTCACTCCCCTATCCATATCCCTTGCTGTAAATTTCACTATACCCTCTCACTCCTACCTTTGCCCTACCATCTCCCTTTCCTCTCACCATGCTTTCACTCCCTGTCCATATCCCCTGCTGTAAGTTTCGCTTTACCCGCTCACTCCTACCTCTGCCCTACCATCTCTCCTTCCTCTCACTATGCTCTCAGCCTCCTGTCCATATTCGTCCTGGGTAAGGAGACGCAGTTGGAGATGATGAAGACCCAGCAGCAGGCTGCAGATATCTTCACCAAGCGCTTGACTGAACCTGATCATTGGAAGGGCATGAAACTTGTTGGAATGAGTGTGTATTAAGGTTGCATGTATGATCTGGGACATGTGGGATGACGGTTGGCAGCCTGAGAGGGAGTTTGTTGTGTGATGCCATAGTTTGCATTCACATCTGCCTGCCTCCCATATTATCTTTCTACCTTGCATATGTGGGGTATGCGTGCGCGTAATAATTGTGTTCGGTATGGTTGGACCTCGTAAGTGTGTATGACTTTTATTTTGTTCGAGCAGATATCTGAAATGGCTTCTATAGTGGAGACCTTCATACGAACCAAGGATCTTATCAATCAGAGCAAGAACGAGAAAGATACGAGTTCGTATGCTTTTGATATTTGGTTGTGGCGACTTTGGAAAATTTGTGGGGTGACTCTATATGGGGTGTGGACTTTTGGGGGTTGGGAAAATTCGTCACTTCACTGTAGTTGATGCCAAGTGGTTGGGAGAAGCCAAACCAGGTTGGCATGAGTGGCCAGTTTGGGTGAGGAGGATTTGAGAGGTTGGGAAAAAGACAAGGGTGAAAGTTGGGTTTCTATACGGAGAGAATTTGTGTGTTTAGGGGTTTGCTCAGTATGGGATTCCCTAGGGACTTTCCCTCTCGTCCTCCTCTTGATCTCCCACCTGATTTCTTGCTACTCTAATTTCTTGTGTGGTTCTTGGATGCACAATTGTTATTGAGTTAAGTTTCAGCTCCATCATTCCCCTTTGCGTCGAATTTCATGACTCGAGAAATACTTCACGTTTTGATATTATTTAAATTTATAATTGTAGCCATGACCTAGCGCTACAACGTAATTGATTTTGGTGAAGTTCGAACTGTGCGTTTTTTGTCGATGGCGTTTCTTGTGAAGTCAAATTTTCTGTCCAGAATTTTAGTCCAACAATTTTGAGATGTTTCGGCTGCCTAATCTACATAGACTCTGTTCTTAATCCTATCAAGGCGTTTTTGTAAGCGAACTCAAGTGTTGATAACTATAGATCCCAGTGGCTGATGTCGTCTTTGCATGTGGTGTGCTGTGCCACGGACGACGAACGAGTGGACGTCCACGAGACGGGATTTGCACCAAGATTGAAGCAGTAGCCCCGAGAGGACCTGAAAGTCTTGATGTCGTGTGCCCATGACGCGTCAGTGTATCTCGTGAGTGCAACTGGTGGTCGTCCTCCGAGCGCAAGCCCCATGCCTGACGTACTAGCCAGCTAGTTCAATATGCCCTTAGGAGCTTACAGTGCTCTAGGTTAGTGTCTTCTAGTCGTAACAAAGTGAACAAAGATGCTGAGAGGATATGCGAGATCTGAGCGACTATGAATCATCAGGTACATGAGGCACCCCTCAAGCTCTATTGACCACTGTGCTCAACTAGCTTGTGAGGAATAGGGGCCGAGAGCGTATGGCCATTACACAGAGGAGTGAGTTGTGCAGAGAAAAACTGAAGGCTGAAGCGCTGGAGCATCTGTTGTACCATGTGTGACTGAGTGAGAGTGATGGTGTACACTGCTATGTCCCTAGTGATCTACAGATCAAGATAACGGCGCAAGTCACCTAGGTCAGTGCGAGTATCTCTTCAGCAGCTCGGCCTTCACCAAGGCCAATGCAACTCTGCCCGCAGTAGCGAATACTAGACCATCTACGTAGACAAGAATGTAGAACGGAGTAGAGCCAAAGCCAACAAAGAGAGATGGGTCAGCAGAGGCCGGAAAGAAGCGGAGGTTGGCCAGAGCCGTGCGCAGTGAGTCGTGCAACTTACGAAGAGCTTGACGCAGACCGTAGACAGACCGTTGAAGGCTCCATTGGGTCCCACCGGCTCTTGAGGTGTTCGCCATATGCTATCGACTAAGTTCGCCCAAGGAGGGGGGATAGCGTCGACGTAGGTGCATGTGGACCTTTAAGATGCCACCTATGCGTCCATGGCTGCTATCCACTAAGAGGCACATGGTCCCGAGACTCCCTCAGGAGAAAAGTGGGTGACAGGATACAAGAGGGACGAGAGCGGAGGAGCATAGTGTGGATACCGGAAAGGGGAGACACGGGGCAAGCACGAGAGGGACGTCAGACCCTGTCATGGGAGGAAGGAGTCAAGTCAGGAGACAGAGGAGGGGACAGATGTGAACGCAGAGGAAGACAAGCCGGAGACAAGACCAGGGGAGGAAGCGTGGGAGTGTAGACTGGGAGAGACTGTGAGGGGGGAGCAGGTGGTTGGTTAGTCAAAGGGTAAGAAAGACCAAGGGCGAAGTGCAGGACGTTCAGGCAGAAAGGCAGAAAGAAGCCACAGGCGACGACAGCGGCTGCTGCTACGGCTACTGCAGCGCTGGACGTTCAGGAGCATCGAGGCTTTCCAAAGGCTTCTTTCTGCCTTTCTGCCTCTCATGCATTGCTAAACGATGCCTCTCATGCATTATCCACTAATGCGAGCCTGCATGAGGAATGTTCCTGCCTTAATGCGCTAATGGCTACGAGTGTATGTGTGTGTACTACACTATCACCTTCCCTCGTGCGCCAATCGTAGAGATCAAGGGCTTTATCTTGTCGCAGATGGTGTTTGAAAATTAAAATACCCCTCTCGAGCAAAAGTAGCTTCTTACAGAGAATGGGAAGGATGAGCATAAGCCAGGGCCAGAGCCAATCCCATTCAGGCCCAAGCCGGTCCGGTTCGGGCCCAAGCCAGTCCCGTTCGGGCCCAACCTAGCCGCGTTCGGGCGCCTTTATCTTATCTCGGATGGAGTAGAGATAGCTTCTTGCAAAGAATGGGCAGGATGAGTTGAGCATCAGCCAGGCTGCAAGGGCCGGAGCCAATCCTGTTTGGGCCCAAGGGGAAGTTGGGCTGGTCCAACCGGGGCCACGTCATTGGTAGCCCAACTCATGTTTTCCTTGAAACTACTGTTGAATCCGAATGGATGATTGCAGTGTGTCAACAAAGCAATCGTTTTGTTTTGTTTGACGTTTAAAAGCATTTCATAGACAATTCCTAGAAGCCAAAGCTACCTTGGACCTAGTTCACTAAGGGTACCATCATCACCCGGATATAAGACAGTGTTGAATAGTAGACAGGGGTTGTCTATTATACGGGTGTCTCTTATAAACAGGCTAGCCTTATTATAAGACACCTATTTCTGTGTACGGGTTAGGCAAGTGTAGGGGTTAGGGGCAATTGTATAACGAGGGGGTATCTTCTAAACGGTTCTTTGTCCATTTATAAGACTTATAAGACACCCTAAACTGTTCCAAATACAAGATAACCCAAGCATTTTTGCCCGTGTACGAGATAAGACATATATGTCTTATATCCGGGCGATGACGGTACGTTATCTGCCGGTGCCATATAATCCATCATTAAGGGTTTGGATTTGATTGATAATGTCATGGAATAATCAGAGCTGTGGATAGCCTTGTGTCAGGAAACTTGACACCGGCCAAGAGTGTACCCTAATAAGATAATTTGGGAGTACGCTCGCAGAGAAAGCATAACAAAAAACCAAAAGGGTATATTCGGCATCATCCCGCTTCCCGCCAGCCGGTTTCGAACAAGTGACCTAAGGATTGCTCAACTACAGTCCTCCTCTCTACCAACTGAGCTATAGCAGGATGCATTTTTTAGGTCGAGCAACATTCAAGACGGCAGAATCTCAAGACTTGCGGCAGCCATGGGGGCAGCTGGGGGTGACAGCAGCACTTCAGGGCGTGCAGCACCCTGGTAGGGAGATGGGGTTGACTGCAAGAGCCCAGGACGTGCAGCAGCCAGAAGAGGAGCTGAGGGCGACAACAGGAGCCAATGGCGTGCAACAGGGGCGCCGCTGGGGTTGACAGCAACACTCCCAGGAGCAGAACAGCCAGGCGGGCTGCATGGGGTGACAGCAGCACCCCAGGGCGTGTAGCAGCTACGGAGGAAGCTGGGGTGCCAATGGCACCACAGGACGGGCAGCAGCTATGGGGGCAGCCGGTGGTGACAGCAGCACCACAGGGCAGCATGCCTTGCAGCCCGCCCCCTTACCCACACCTCTTCCGATCAGAACCCTGACGCCATGCGCCTAGCTACAGGTGTCGGAAAGGGTGCGAAGTAGGAAAGGGGAGCCACGGGTTGGCATGCCTCACGGCAGGGAAGTTAGCTCGACCGTCTGAGGCGATGGTGCAGTCGTTGAGAAGGGAACACCCCAGTCCAGCAGCATTGGCGAGATACCAGAGTGGGTCCACACACCTTTGCTATCAACGCCCCTGAATGACCTGTATTCACACGGCCGCAAGTCATTCACCATTCCGCTAAGTGCTATTCTGTGACATGGCAGGCATGGCTAACGGAATGCACCTGGCAGATTTATGATTCCAAAGTACACACATAAAACAACACAATGGTTTGGATGTGATTTGATTCTGTTTGTAGCGAGAGCGATTCAGGGTGTTACCACTTTGATCCCCGTGAGCAGGTAACCACCCGTGGCAGACATGGTCATGTGCGGGTGGGTCCTCTGAGGGAGCACCTGGAGGGGGAGCATGGGAGGGGGAGCATGGGACGGAGAGCAGACTGTATAGCACAGCCTAGCAACGCATAGGGTAGCTGAACGAATCCCTGTTCCAACTTCCCTCCTCTCACCTGCTACTCCCTGTTCTCACCTCACTGTTCTCACCTCACTGTTCTCACCTCACTGTTCTCACCTCACTGTTCTCACCTCACTGTTCTCACCTCACTGTTCTCACCTCACTGTTCTCACCTCACTGTTCTCACCTCACTGTTCTCACCTCACTGTTCTCACCTCACTGTTCTCACCTCACTGTTCTCACCTCACTGTTCTCACCTCACTGTTCTCACCTCACTGTTCTCACCTCACTGTTCTCACCTCACTGTTCTCACCTCACTGTTCTCACCTCACTGTTCTCACCTCACTGTTCTCACCTCACTGTTCTCACCTCACTGTTCTCACCTCACTGTTCTCACCTCACTGTTCTCACCTCACTGTTCTCACCTCACTGTTCTCACCTCACTGTTCTCACCTCACTGTTCTCACCTCACTGTTCTCACCTCACTGTTCTCACCTCACTGTTCTCACCTCACTGTTCTCACCTCACTGTTCTCACCTCACTGTTCTCACCTCACTGTTCTCACCTCACTGTTCTCACCTCACTGTTCTCACCTCACTGTTCTCACCTCACTGTTCTCACCTCACTGTTCTCACCTCACTGTTCTCACCTCACTGTTCTCACCTCACTGTTCTCACCTCACTGTTCTCACCTCACTGTTCTCACCTCACTGTTCTCACCTCACTGTTCTCACCTCACTGTTCTCACCTCACTGTTCTCACCTCACTGTTCTCACCTCACTGTTCTCACCTCACTGTTCTCACCTCACTGTTCTCACCTCACTGTTCTCACCTCACTGTTCTCACCTCACTGTTCTCACCTCACTGTTCTCACCTCACTGTTCTCACCTCACTGTTCTCACCTCACTGTTCTCACCTCACTGTTCTCACCTCACTGTTCTCACCTCACTGTTCTCACCTCACTGTTCTCACCTCACTGTTCTCACCTCACTGTTCTCACCTCACTGTTCTCACCTCACTGTTCTCACCTCACTGTTCTCACCTCACTGTTCTCACCTCACTGTTCTCACCTCACTGTTCTCACCTCACTGTTCTCACCTCACTGTTCTCACCTCACTGTTCTCACCTCACTGTTCTCACCTCACTGTTCTCACCTCACTGTTCTCACCTCACTGTTCTCACCTCACTGTTCTCACCTCACTGTTCTCACCTCACTGTTCTCACCTCACTGTTCTCACCTCACTGTTCTCACCTCACTGTTCTCACCTCACTGTTCTCACCTCACTGTTCTCACCTCACTGTTCTCACCTCACTGTTCTCACCTCACTGTTCTCACCTCACTGTTCTCACCTCACTGTTCTCACCTCACTGTTCTCACCTCACTGTTCTCACCTCACTGTTCTCACCTCACTGTTCTCACCTCACTGTTCTCACCTCACTGTTCTCACCTCACTGTTCTCACCTCACTGTTCTCACCTCACTGTTCTCACCTCACTGTTCTCACCTCACTGTTCTCACCTCACTGTTCTCACCTCACTGTTCTCACCTCACTGTTCTCACCTCACTGTTCTCACCTCACTGTTCTCACCTCACTGTTCTCACCTCACTGTTCTCACCTCACTGTTCTCACCTCACTGTTCTCACCTCACTGTTCTCACCTCACTGTTCTCACCTCACTGTTCTCACCTCACTGTTCTCACCTCACTGTTCTCACCTCACTGTTCTCACCTCACTGTTCTCACCTCACTGTTCTCACCTCACTGTTCTCACCTCACTGTTCTCACCTCACTGTTCTCACCTCACTGTTCTCACCTCACTGTTCTCACCTCACTGTTCTCACCTCACTGTTCTCACCTCACTGTTCTCACCTCACTGTTCTCACCTCACTGTTCTCACCTCACTGTTCTCACCTCACTGTTCTCACCTCACTGTTCTCACCTCACTGTTCTCACCTCACTGTTCTCACCTCACTGTTCTCACCTCACTGTTCTCACCTCACTGTTCTCACCTCACTGTTCTCACCTCACTGTTCTCACCTCACTGTTCTCACCTCACTGTTCTCACCTCACTGTTCTCACCTCACTGTTCTCACCTCACTGTTCTCACCTCACTGTTCTCACCTCACTGTTCTCACCTCACTGTTCTCACCTCACTGTTCTCACCTCACTGTTCTCACCTCACTGTTCTCACCTCACTGTTCTCACCTCACTGTTCTCACCTCACTGTTCTCACCTCACTGTTCTCACCTCACTGTTCTCACCTCACTGTTCTCACCTCACTGTTCTCACCTCACTGTTCTCACCTCACTGTTCTCACCTCACTGTTCTCACCTCACTGTTCTCACCTCACTGTTCTCACCTCACTGTTCTCACCTCACTGTTCTCACCTCACTGTTCTCACCTCACTGTTCTCACCTCACTGTTCTCACCTCACTGTTCTCACCTCACTGTTCTCACCTCACTGTTCTCACCTCACTGTTCTCACCTCACTGTTCTCACCTCACTGTTCTCACCTCACTGTTCTCACCTCACTGTTCTCACCTCACTGTTCTCACCTCACTGTTCTCACCTCACTGTTCTCACCTCACTGTTCTCACCTCACTGTTCTCACCTCACTGTTCTCACCTCACTGTTCTCACCTCACTGTTCTCACCTCACTGTTCTCACCTCACTGTTCTCACCTCACTGTTCTCACCTCACTGTTCTCACCTCACTGTTCTCACCTCACTGTTCTCACCTCACTGTTCTCACCTCACTGTTCTCACCTCACTGTTCTCACCTCACTGTTCTCACCTCACTGTTCTCACCTCACTGTTCTCACCTCACTGTTCTCACCTCACTGTTCTCACCTCACTGTTCTCACCTCACTGTTCTCACCTCACTGTTCTCACCTCACTGTTCTCACCTCACTGTTCTCACCTCACTGTTCTCACCTCACTGTTCTCACCTCACTGTTCTCACCTCACTGTTCTCACCTCACTGTTCTCACCTCACTGTTCTCACCTCACTGTTCTCACCTCACTGTTCTCACCTCACTGTTCTCACCTCACTGTTCTCACCTCACTGTTCTCACCTCACTGTTCTCACCTCACTGTTCTCACCTCACTGTTCTCACCTCACTGTTCTCACCTCACTGTTCTCACCTCACTGTTCTCACCTCACTGTTCTCACCTCACTGTTCTCACCTCACTGTTCTCACCTCACTGTTCTCACCTCACTGTTCTCACCTCACTGTTCTCACCTCACTGTTCTCACCTCACTGTTCTCACCTCACTGTTCTCACCTCACTGTTCTCACCTCACTGTTCTCACCTCACTGTTCTCACCTCACTGTTCTCACCTCACTGTTCTCACCTCACTGTTCTCACCTCACTGTTCTCACCTCACTGTTCTCACCTCACTGTTCTCACCTCACTGTTCTCACCTCACTGTTCTCACCTCACTGTTCTCACCTCACTGTTCTCACCTCACTGTTCTCACCTCACTGTTCTCACCTCACTGTTCTCACCTCACTGTTCTCACCTCACTGTTCTCACCTCACTGTTCTCACCTCACTGTTCTCACCTCACTGTTCTCACCTCACTGTTCTCACCTCACTGTTCTCACCTCACTGTTCTCACCTCACTGTTCTCACCTCACTGTTCTCACCTCACTGTTCTCACCTCACTGTTCTCACCTCACTGTTCTCACCTCACTGTTCTCACCTCACTGTTCTCACCTCACTGTTCTCACCTCACTGTTCTCACCTCACTGTTCTCACCTCACTGTTCTCACCTCACTGTTCTCACCTCACTGTTCTCACCTCACTGTTCTCACCTCACTGTTCTCACCTCACTGTTCTCACCTCACTGTTCTCACCTCACTGTTCTCACCTCACTGTTCTCACCTCACTGTTCTCACCTCACTGTTCTCACCTCACTGTTCTCACCTCACTGTTCTCACCTCACTGTTCTCACCTCACTGTTCTCACCTCACTGTTCTCACCTCACTGTTCTCACCTCACTGTTCTCACCTCACTGTTCTCACCTCACTGTTCTCACCTCACTGTTCTCACCTCACTGTTCTCACCTCACTGTTCTCACCTCACTGTTCTCACCTCACTGTTCTCACCTCACTGTTCTCACCTCACTGTTCTCACCTCACTGTTCTCACCTCACTGTTCTCACCTCACTGTTCTCACCTCACTGTTCTCACCTCACTGTTCTCACCTCACTGTTCTCACCTCACTGTTCTCACCTCACTGTTCTCACCTCACTGTTCTCACCTCACTGTTCTCACCTCACTGTTCTCACCTCACTGTTCTCACCTCACTGTTCTCACCTCACTGTTCTCACCTCACTGTTCTCACCTCACTGTTCTCACCTCACTGTTCTCACCTCACTGTTCTCACCTCACTGTTCTCACCTCACTGTTCTCACCTCACTGTTCTCACCTCACTGTTCTCACCTCACTGTTCTCACCTCACTGTTCTCACCTCACTGTTCTCACCTCACTGTTCTCACCTCACTGTTCTCACCTCACTGTTCTCACCTCACTGTTCTCACCTCACTGTTCTCACCTCACTGTTCTCACCTCACTGTTCTCACCTCACTGTTCTCACCTCACTGTTCTCACCTCACTGTTCTCACCTCACTGTTCTCACCTCACTGTTCTCACCTCACTGTTCTCACCTCACTGTTCTCACCTCACTGTTCTCACCTCACTGTTCTCACCTCACTGTTCTCACCTCACTGTTCTCACCTCACTGTTCTCACCTCACTGTTCTCACCTCACTGTTCTCACCTCACTGTTCTCACCTCACTGTTCTCACCTCACTGTTCTCACCTCACTGTTCTCACCTCACTGTTCTCACCTCACTGTTCTCACCTCACTGTTCTCACCTCACTGTTCTCACCTCACTGTTCTCACCTCACTGTTCTCACCTCACTGTTCTCACCTCACTGTTCTCACCTCACTGTTCTCACCTCACTGTTCTCACCTCACTGTTCTCACCTCACTGTTCTCACCTCACTGTTCTCACCTCACTGTTCTCACCTCACTGTTCTCACCTCACTGTTCTCACCTCACTGTTCTCACCTCACTGTTCTCACCTCACTGTTCTCACCTCACTGTTCTCACCTCACTGTTCTCACCTCACTGTTCTCACCTCACTGTTCTCACCTCACTGTTCTCACCTCACTGTTCTCACCTCACTGTTCTCACCTCACTGTTCTCACCTCACTGTTCTCACCTCACTGTTCTCACCTCACTGTTCTCACCTCACTGTTCTCACCTCACTGTTCTCACCTCACTGTTCTCACCTCACTGTTCTCACCTCACTGTTCTCACCTCACTGTTCTCACCTCACTGTTCTCACCTCACTGTTCTCACCTCACTGTTCTCACCTCACTGTTCTCACCTCACTGTTCTCACCTCACTGTTCTCACCTCACTGTTCTCACCTCACTGTTCTCACCTCACTGTTCTCACCTCACTGTTCTCACCTCACTGTTCTCACCTCACTGTTCTCACCTCACTGTTCTCACCTCACTGTTCTCACCTCACTGTTCTCACCTCACTGTTCTCACCTCACTGTTCTCACCTCACTGTTCTCACCTCACTGTTCTCACCTCACTGTTCTCACCTCACTGTTCTCACCTCACTGTTCTCACCTCACTGTTCTCACCTCACTGTTCTCACCTCACTGTTCTCACCTCACTGTTCTCACCTCACTGTTCTCACCTCACTGTTCTCACCTCACTGTTCTCACCTCACTGTTCTCACCTCACTGTTCTCACCTCACTGTTCTCACCTCACTGTTCTCACCTCACTGTTCTCACCTCACTGTTCTCACCTCACTGTTCTCACCTCACTGTTCTCACCTCACTGTTCTCACCTCACTGTTCTCACCTCACTGTTCTCACCTCACTGTTCTCACCTCACTGTTCTCACCTCACTGTTCTCACCTCACTGTTCTCACCTCACTGTTCTCACCTCACTGTTCTCACCTCACTGTTCTCACCTCACTGTTCTCACCTCACTGTTCTCACCTCACTGTTCTCACCTCACTGTTCTCACCTCACTGTTCTCACCTCACTGTTCTCACCTCACTGTTCTCACCTCACTGTTCTCACCTCACTGTTCTCACCTCACTGTTCTCACCTCACTGTTCTCACCTCACTGTTCTCACCTCACTGTTCTCACCTCACTGTTCTCACCTCACTGTTCTCACCTCACTGTTCTCACCTCACTGTTCTCACCTCACTGTTCTCACCTCACTGTTCTCACCTCACTGTTCTCACCTCACTGTTCTCACCTCACTGTTCTCACCTCACTGTTCTCACCTCACTGTTCTCACCTCACTGTTCTCACCTCACTGTTCTCACCTCACTGTTCTCACCTCACTGTTCTCACCTCACTGTTCTCACCTCACTGTTCTCACCTCACTGTTCTCACCTCACTGTTCTCACCTCACTGTTCTCACCTCACTGTTCTCACCTCACTGTTCTCACCTCACTGTTCTCACCTCACTGTTCTCACCTCACTGTTCTCACCTCACTGTTCTCACCTCACTGTTCTCACCTCACTGTTCTCACCTCACTGTTCTCACCTCACTGTTCTCACCTCACTGTTCTCACCTCACTGTTCTCACCTCACCTCTCCCTCACTGCTCTCACCTCCCTCACCTCCCTACCTCTCTCCTCCCCTCACCTGGTATTCTCTCAGCCACGGTTCACTCAGTTCCAATGCCCATTTCAACAAGACCCCTCTTTGTCTCACCTCGCCTCACTTGCCACCCCTCCCTCCTCTCACCTGCCACCCCTCCCTCCTCTCACCTGCCACCCCCTCCCTCCTCTCACCTGCCACCCCCCCCTCCTCTCACCTGCCACCCCTCCCTCCTCTCACCTGCCACCCCCTCCCTCCCTCACCTGCCACCCCCTCCCTCCTCTCACCTGCCACCCCCCTCCCTCTCTCACCTGCCACCCCCTCCCTCCTCTCACCTGCCACCCCCTCCCTCCTCTCACCTGCCACCCCCTCCCTCGCCTCTCCCCCGTCCCCTCACCTCGTATTCTCTCACCCACGGCTCGCTCAGCTACGGAGCCAGATGATTCCTCGGCTGTTTCAAACACCCCCCCCCTGTGTCTCTTCCCCTCACCTGCTACTCCCTGTTCTCACCTCCCTCCCCTCATCCCTCCGCTCACCTGGTCTCTCTCAGCCATGGTTCAGTCAGCTCCAATGCCACCGCGCTGCTCCTTGCTTCCCGCATCGCCTCCGCTAGCGGCTGTAGGGTCGGGGTGAGATTGCATGGGGCAGGAGGGGTGCGCAAAGAAAAGGAGTTATGCGCACTTGCTGCAAGCGGGGGAGGCAAACTCATAAATCGCCACTGTGCTGCTCCTTGCTTCCCGCATCGCCTCCGCTAGCGGCTGTCAGGGTGGGGAAAGGGAGGAGTGTATGGTGCAAGCAGGGCGACGGAGGAGAAAGCAAACGTACAAATGATGCCCAGATGTCCTCTGCTGGCGGCTGCAGGGGTGGAGAAAGGCAGGCATGTGGGATGCAAGCGGGGGCGAGGGAAGGGAAAGCAAGCGCACGTGATGCGAGTGGCATTCCGGGCGCCTTGAGGGAAGGCTGCATTGCCTCAGCAAGCGGCTGCAAAGGGTGGGGAAAGGAGGAGGGCGTACTTGTGAGGTGCCTCAAATGGGATGGTACTCGCCTGTGCTAGTTCACATGGTGCATACGGGGGAAGAGAGGGGGGGGGAGGAAGAGGGGGGAGAGGGGGGAAGAGGGGGGAAGAGGGGAAGAGGGGGGGGGAGAGGGGGGGAAGAGGGGGGAAGAGGGGGGAAGAGGGGGAAGAGGGGGGAAGAGGGGGGAGGGGGAAGAGGGGGAAGAGGGGGGAAGAGGGGGGAGAGGGGGGGAAGAAGGGGGAAGAGGGGGGAAGAGGGGGGAGAGGGGGGAAGAGGGGGGAAGGGAAGTGGGTTAGGGAACAGTGAACAGGCCAGAGAGAAAACAGCGAAAGTGAGAAGCATATGGCGAGAGAGAAAAAATGGGAGAGGGAGGCTGCACAGCAGAAAAGGCCCAGATTTGTGCATCCAGGATAGCAGCAGATGTTGCGGCTGCAGCAGTAGCAGCAGCGGCGTCAGATGTCTCAATCCAGCCCACCAGCACGTGTGCTACATGCTCTCACTCACACCCCTTCACCTGCTCTCACACCCCTTCACCTGCTCTCACACCCCTTCACCTGCTCTCACACCCCTTCACCTGCTCTCACACCCCTTCACCTGCTCTCACACCCCTTCACCTGCTCTCACACCCCTTCACCTGCTCTCACACCCCTTCACCTGCTCTCACACCCCTTCACCTGCTCTCCACTCCTCTCACCTGCAGCGTGGTGTGATGCAGCACAAAGGCCGCGGACGGCTGCAGCCCCAGCAGCAGGGGGGTCATATGTGTGCTACCCACTCCCATACCCGTCACCTGCTCTGCTCCCCATCCACCCACTCACCTGCAGCGTGGTGTGTGCAGCACGAAGGCTGCAGACGGCTGCAGCAGCGGCAGCAGCTGCTGTAGCACGGCAGAGGGGCAGAGAGCAGGCGCTGCCACTATGAGACTGGGGAGGTGTAGGGATAGACATGGGGAGGCGTAGGGGATAGACATGGGGAGGCGTAGGGGATAGACATGGGGAAGGATGAAAATGGGGTATGGCAATGAGGGGGGTGGGGCCTGAGATTGAGAGAAATAGCAGGCAGAGGGGCAGCGAGCAGACGCCACCACTATGAGACTGGGGAGGGGTAGTAGGGGACGGTAGTAGGGGGGGGGGGGGGGGGGGGGGGGGGATGGAGAGACGAGTGAAGAGAGACAAGGAATGGACATGAGGAGATGCATGGGCATAAATGGTGCATGATAAAAAAGGAATTTATGGTAGAAAAGATGCAACACCAAGGTTAGGGAGTGTTGAAAAAAAAAGAAGGATTGCCAGCGCACATGCGCAGGTGAGAGCAGGTGGTGTTGCAAACCACTGCCACATGCCTCCGCTCCACTAAACGCCAGGGGTTCCTGCCCCCCCCACGGCTTGCCAGTCATTTACATTGTTCCCGCAAGCTCACCTGGCGAGCCCGCTGTGTTCCCATCCCATCGCCACTGCTGCATGACTGCCCTTGAAAGGAGCATGGTGGATCTCGTCCCAATGCGCATAGTGCCATGCCCTCACCTCACCCCGATCCAGGTGTTTCTTGGGAGCATTCAAATGCAGCCGGAACTCGTCCCAATGCCCACACTGCCATTCCCTCACTGCGCCGTTCTTAATCCCTCACCGACTTATGTCCTCACTAGAAGCCATCCCTGTGCCTAGCAGAATGCGAATGCGAAGAAGCGCACCTGCTAAATGCGCCATGGCCCTTCAGCCACTGCACCATGAATTCACTACAAGCCACCCCACCCATGCCCTTAAATTAAAAGACAGTGCAATCTCCAAGGCTCACCTGCTGAATCCGCCGTGTTCTTTCAGCCACTGCTGCATGACATCACTTGAAGCCCCACCCGCCCCAGCGCCCCCTGTGCGCCCCGCTCCTCCCGTGTCAGGCTGCTCTTCCCACTCCTCACTCCCTCTGCGCCCTCCCTCACTCCCTCTAACTCCTCTACTTCCATTTTCTCCACTGCTGGAGCGTCTGCTACCGCATTCAACCCATCTACACCGTCTGCTGCCTTCATCTCTTCCTCAGCACAAGCTGCTCCCTCAGTTGAGTCTGAGCAGCACTCTCGTCCCCTTCCCCTTTCTGCCTCTTGCAAGGCCTCCCTTCAGCCTCATCCCCTTCGCCGCCCCCTGCTGTTTGTCCATCTGCTGCTGCTGCTGCTTCTACTGTTGCTGCTCCACCTGCTGCTGTTGTTGCGACTGCTACTTCATCCGCTGCTGCTGCTGCTGCTTCTGCCGCAAGGTTCGATGTTGCTACAGCTGTAGCTGTAACCGCCTCTGCTGATTGCGATGCATCCGCTGCTGCAGTGTGCTGCTGCTGCTGTTGCGACCAGGTGTGGTGTGCATCCAGCAGCTGCTGCACGGACGCCCGATGAATGCTGACAGGGAGAGTAGCGGTGAGCATAAACAACAATGTGCACATCATCATATCAGGCTGTGGATTGTGCTTGGTCACTGCATGGGTGGCTGCATGGGTGACGCACAAAAGAAGCATGTATGAGTGGCAAATATCCAATGTGCAGTGGGCATACTGACCATTTGCCGTTTGTGCTGGACATTGGACAAACAGTGTGCTCTCAAAGTGATATCCATGGTACTCGTGACAAGTGAGTGGCATTGTGAAAGGGTATGATTCTCTATATTACACTTAGCCATGCATGACAATTGATGCGTATGTTCCAAACTGCATGGGGCATTAGGCATTGGCATGACATGAAGACGCATGTTGAGGCAGCTCTGATCACATCGAAGCATCCGCGATCGTATCAAGGCTGAGATGTCAAACGACGGTGATGGATGGAGAGTGCGCACCATGGCATGGCATGGCATAGCGTGCAGACGAATGTGAGCCAGGAAAGCCAATGTATGCTGGCATGACACGTCACATGACACGACACCAGCCACGTTACATACATTTCACACGGCAGAGCAACTGACATACATGGCAGCGGCGGGCAGGGAGAGGTTGAGATGGCGGATGATGTCGATGGAGGGCGCGTGGGACACATGCGAGCCGTAGAAGGGCGCTGCAGATGGGCGCCGTGGCCTCCCATCCTCTGTGCGGAGCACCCGTGATGAGCCCCCCCGTCCGTCCAGCACCAGCAGGTGCGAGTGCGCGCCCACGTTGGCCATCGCTAGTAGCATCGCCAGGCTGTCAGGGCGCAGGAAACTGCAGGGCATGGGGCGAGAGAAGGCAGAAGTTAGGTGGGGAAAGGTGAGCGGAGCACTACTGGGTGGACGGGAGTGGGCCCGCATTGCCCCACTCCCGTCCACTGCAGCATCGCCAGGCTGTCAGGTCGCGGGAAACCCTAGTGGGAATATACGCGTTTTGCGTATATAAGCTTATCGTTTATACGCGCTCGTATACACGCTATACGCTGTAGGGACGGGTTGGGAATCCGCTTTTTGGGCAGAAAAAAAACTTCCTGGGCAGGGTCAAAAAACCCGGGGGAGGGGGGGGGGGGGGGGGGGGGGTGGAGTGGGGCCTGAAGTTTCAAAGTACTTTTTTTTCCACATTACACATATACCACGCCTACACATAACTTTTCCCTACTCTCTAAGACTTTTACCACTACCATCACTACTAGGGTTCACTACTCCATCACGACCATCACTTCTCTCTAAGACTCTCTAAGTACTACTCCTTAGCCTAGCCGCCCACAGCAAGCCACATATGCCCATTCTAGTTAGCGTACTCGTCTTCGAGGATGTCGTCGTCGTTGCCTTCCTCCTCATCCTCTCCCGTCGTCTCGTCTTCCAGCCCATTGTATCCCGCCGGGATTGGAGGCTCCGCTCCAATCCCAGGCACCACATGTGGCAGGACATCGGCGCGCGTGTGCCAGTTGCGCACAACATTCCAGTTGTGCGCAACATAGACCAAGTCCCTGCACTTGGCGGATCCGAGCCTGTTTCGACGTGCGGTGTGGACGGCATACCACGATGACCATCCACGCTCACAAGGTGAGGCTGACACGGGCTGAGACAGCACCCGTACCGCGAGCCCCGCCACTCGTGTCGTGGGGCATCAGTCCCATTCCATTGCCACCACTTCACCATGCTATACTTCCCCTCTTTCACCAGCTTCCTCTGTGCACGGCTTCCGGCATCCCAAAAGAACCCTTCATGTCAAGGAAGCCCTCAGCCCGTCCCCCAGGTCAAGCAAGATGTCGCATGTGTCATCCCCCCCATCCCCGCGGCTCGCAGGAACTCGACATACTGGCTGATGAACACCTTGAAGACTTTCGTGCACTCGGGATCAGTGCCGAAAATATCTTCCTCCTGATTGGCGGGGTGAGGATGCGCCAGCGACATGCATGGCGCATGCGAGGCTGCCGTCCCAACGGTCTCTGAGGATGCGGCGGATCTGGTCCTTCTGCCCGTTGCTCAACTGCTCCTCGTCCTCATCGAGTAAGTCCCCCACGTCCTCAGTCAACTGAGCATCACATCGCACATCCTCCCCATCATCCCCACGGCATGCCGTCCGTCTGCCTCATCGCTTTGTAGGCTGCCTCATCGCTTTGTAGGGCAGCTTCAGCAGGGCGGTGAAGAATTCGGCCGTTTTCCACCAGGCGGCATCATGGATCAGCGCACTAAACCCGTCGCATGATTTCTTCCGTCCCCTGCCGCCCACTCCTTCCACTGGTCGCTCGTCACCATGTTGGTGAGGCTGCCGCGCATCGCACACAGCTGGGATATGGCTATGTAGTTGGTCCCGAATCGGGTTCCAGCCGGCTTCAGCGCTTCCAGAACCTTCCCCTCCACCAATTCCGGCGTCCGCAGGTACCCTCGGGTCCAATGGTGGTTGCGGACGAAGCTGGTATCTCCCCCCTTGTCGACCACCGGCTTAGCCCATGGCATCTTCCCCACGTCTTCCATGAGAAGATCCAATACGCGAGTGGCGCACGGCACATCCTGAATGTGCGGCCACTCCCGTATAAGGTGCTTCACCGCCACCGCATAGTTCGACCCCCCGTCCATGCAGAACGCAACAACGTTCTCTGGACCCACTTCCTCCACCACGGGCCTGAGAATCCCCGCCACGTAACCACCCGTTTTCCTCTCCATGTTGCAGTCAATACAGTCGAAGAAGACGGCACCGGAATCATTCACGAGAAGCACGTTGGCCTGCGGCCTGCCCCTGCGGTCCGTCGTCATGTCGGACGAAACCGTCACGCCCGTCCGCTTCCAGCTCGTCTTGACGCCCACCAAACCCTGCTCGATTCCGTTGCGACACGCGACAAGGCCAGCACCGCCGACGTATTTCCTCTTGGGAGGGACGTAGTCGCCGCCGGCGCGTGAGACGTTGTTCAATGCATTGACCATCAGAGGATGGTCAATGTGGCGCTCGGGGATGTGGAGGGCGGCCCAAGCAAGCGCAAGTGACTCGTCCGCTTCTCTCTTTCTTGCAGCCGCATCCCCCTCAAGGTAATCGGTGCGCCCGCTTCCCACCGTTAGCCTTCACCGCGGCAACCGCTTCAGCTGCAGCCCGCTCCTTTCTTCGGCCGCAGCAGCCTTTGCCTCGTAGTGCGCGCGCATGGCCCGACGCACATCTTGCGGCGCATCCTTGCAAAGCACCACTTCACGGCATTTCATCCCCTTCCACGACGTGAAATGCTGCGCGCATCAGATGGCAGCACCAATGTAGACGTTGCTGCAGAACTTGCACTCGTACTGCTGAGCTTTTCCCTCGACCCTCTTGATGATGCGGAAGTGCCTGAAGACGGCATGGTCAACGTCGGGGAGATACTCCCGTGCCTCGGTTAGAAGAGTTTGCGAACTGCCAACGGTGTTAACTGACGGTGCCGTTGGAGGAGAGGTGGTAGTAGTCGACATAGGCACCAGGCGCTAGGAATGCCCAGCGCTCTGCTGGTAGCGGGAGAAGACCTAATGAGTTGGATGTTGGGGGTATGCGTGTTTAATAGCGAGTTGACTGTGGGAGTGGGAAGATGGGCAACAGAAGTTGGAATCGCATTATCGCAATTGGTTGCGAAGGTTTTGAATGCGGTACTGAGTGTGAACACCACAAATGTGAGGGAACGTGCAGGCGCGACTCGACGTACATGACTTTCCATTCGCGACACGAACTTTCAACCCACGTCCACGCTAGCACACAGCGCGGACGTGCCATCTGACCCCGCCAATGTCTTCGTCGTGCAATTCCGAAGCGAACCGTATAGGTTGAAATTTTCTGGCCGGGCTGCCCCAAAAAAAATTTGGCGAGCGTATAGCGTATTCGCTTGCGTATAGCGTTTTGCGTATACACGCTACGCTAAACGCAAACAGTTTTGAGCGTATATTCCCACTAAGCGGGAAACTGCAATGGGTGCGGGGAGAGGAGGTGGAGGAGGGGGGAAAGGCTAGTCTGAAGCAACATGAGTGGGCAGTGGGCATTTAGGGGAAACTGCAGCCACGCACGGGGAGAGAAGGGAGATAGGTGGGGGAGTGAGAGAGACGGGGAGCAATGGGTTGAGGTGTAGAGGGGAAAGGATTATCTTGAATGAAGCAGCAGTCACACACATGCGTGGCTAGCAAACTACGAGGCTACAGGGGCCCACAAGAGGAGACTGCGGACGGTGCGGTAATAAGGGGCAAAGAGGGCATGACGAGGTGAAGCCAAGAGGGCACGACGAGGTGAAGCCAAGAGGGCACGACGAGGTGAAGCCAAGAGGGCACGACGAGGTGAAGCCAAGAGGGCACGACGAGGTGAAGCCAAGAGGGCACGACGAGGTGAAGCCAAGAGGGCACGACGAGTGAAGCCAAGAGGGCACGACGAGGTGAAGCCAAGAGGGCACGACGAGGTGAAGCCAAGAGGGCACGACGAGTGAAGCCAAGAGGGCACGACGAGGTGAAGCCAAGAGGGCACGACGAGGTGAAGCCAAGAGGGCACGACGAGGTGAAGACACACACCCATAAACACTCGGGTACGCGTCCGAATGAAATCGACTGCCTTGACGTTCATATTCCACATGATGTTGACTCGCACACGAAGCAGTGCACTGTATTGCACTGCCTTGCACCGAAATGCACTGCCTTGCACCGAAATGCACTGCCTTGCACCGAAATGCACTGCCTTGCACTGCTCTGTACTGCTTTGTACTCTGCTTCGCACACTGCTTTGTACATTACGCCTTGCTAGAGAATGGAAATGCGCCCATCTGTCACTCACCCAATCCTGGCAGGAGCCTTGCAAAGCAAACCTACGCACACTGCTGCATGTGACGCTGATGTGATGTGGGAGCGAGGAGGAAAGAGGAGAGAGGGAGAAAGAAAAATCGTTAGAATGGATGTACCGAAGCAAAGTGTGAAAATAGAGGTGCGTATGATGATGTACCCATCCATCCATCCATGGTACAAGGCAAGGAAAGCATGCCAACGACATCATAAAGGAACACATTGCTGTATACGTGAAACGCGAGACATACAGAGATGAGGTATGTAGGGGGTGGATGCTATGGAGGGACATGGCAGGGGTAGGCAGCAGCGAGGCATGGTGGTAGGCAGCGAGGCATGGTGGGTAGGCAGAGAGGCATGGTGGGTAGGCAGCGAGACCTGTCGGCTGTGGGAAAGCGGGCGACCAGGCGCGGAGCGTGCTTCTTCTGCTTCTTCCTCAGATACTTCTCCTGTGGGGGAGGGAGGGGGGGCGGGGGGTGGTTGAGGAACAGGAGAGAGTAGGGGGTGCTTCTTCTGCTTCTCCTCAGATACTTCTCCTGTTGGGGGCGGGGAGGGGGCGGGGGAGGGGGAGTAGAGTAGGTTGAGAAACAGGAAAGAGGGTGGGATTCTCAGGAGCATGCATTGAAAGAGGCGCGAACAGGAGCACGCAGCAAGCAGCAGCAGGCATAACCTGGGCGAATGGGTATTGGTGTGGAAGGGTGTGCGGGATGGTGGAGGGAAGTAGCACACAGCAAGCAGCCAGTAGCAGCGAGCGAGTAGCATCAAGCAGCAGCAGGCATAACCTGGGCGAATGGGTATTGGTGTGGAAGGGTGTGCGGGATGGTGGAGGGAAGTAGCACACAGCAAGCAGCCAGTAGCAGCGAGCGAGTAGCAGCAAGCAGCAGCAGGCATGACCACAGGGCGAAGCATGACCTGGGCGAAGTCGGTTTTGGTGTGGAAGGAGACGCTGTTGGCCGCCAGTGCCCGCACCACCTCATGCCCCGATGCTGCTTGCCTGCGACCACCAGCAGACCGTGAAAACCGAGAGACAAAAAAATAATGTGACCAATGCAACAATGTAAAAAAAAAAAAAAAAAAAAAAAAAAAAAAAGGAAAGGGCCAAGGGAAACAAAAGGGAGGAAAGGAACAATGTGAAGGAGGTTGGGAAGCGAGGAAGATGGAATAATGAACTGGTTTTGCGAACCAAAAGTCGGTGAAAGCTGTGAAAGTGGTTCGGAAATTACCTCTTGAGTGCTGCAATCTCATTGGCCGACAGCTTCTGCGCAGTGTTATCGTCGATCAAATTGCGATTGTCCTTCACCCCCTCGCTGCTCTTCATTCCCCTCTGCACCTTTCTCCGCTGCCCCACTCTTAGCAGCATCATCAGCAGCATCAGTGGCAGTATCATCAGCAGCCGTTACAGCAGCAGTGGGCGCATCAGCAGCAGCAGCAGCATCCACCTCCCCAATGGCAGAGAGGGAATCTGGAACAGTAGTGGGTGCGAGGCCAGGCCAGGACACATACCAACAGTGGGTGGGTGCTTTGGTGTGTCAGCCAGCCAGCCAGCCAGCCATGTGGACTGGGTGGGTCAATCTTTCATGTAAACAGTGGATGAGCTGCATTTGAGATAAACCTTCAGCACAAGGAACACCACTTGTTGGTGGTGGTAGACATTGCGTGGCTGCAGATTAGTGGTTATTAGCAAGTTGTAAGAGAGTAAACAGGCTTGTAAAGACCTGTGTGTTGTTTGTGGAAAATCTTCTTGTGAAAAAAAATCCGTCGCAAACATATTTCACATGGCTGGGTCAGGGCACGGCAAGGCTCCCAGTCAGTCTGTCATTTGGTGGGTGCTTTCGAGCGAAAGGTTGTTTAGATTGACATCTTTTGGAAATCTGCTTTGGTGGTTGTTTTCCCTCCCTCCCTCCCCTCCCCTCCCACACCCACCTTCCCTCCTCACCCACCTTCCCTCCTCACCCACCTTCCCTCCCTCACCCACCTTCCCTCCTCACCCACCTTCCCTCCCTCACCCACCTTCCCTCCCTCACCCACCTTCCCTCCCTCACCCACCTTCCCTCCTCATCCACCTTCCCTCCCTCACCCACCTTCCCTCCCTCACCCACCCACCTTCCCTCACCCACCTTCCCTCCCTCACCCACCTTCCCTCAGTTGCTCCTTTGACACTCGCACCAGCTGTGGCCTCCTTCCTCCTCCCCCCCCTCCCCTTCCTCTCCTCTCCCCCCTCCACCTCTTCCTCCTCCCCTTCCGCCCCATTTCCCCTTTCCGCCCTTCCCCCCATCGCCCTTATCATCCTCCCCCTCCCCTCCCCCGTCCTTCGCTTGCCCCCCCTCTCCGTTTTCCCCCTCTCCGCCTCCCCCCTCCCCCCCGTCCCCCCCTGCGCCCTCCTCGCCGCCCATGCGCAGCTCAAACACAGAGCCAAAGGGGCAGCCGACGAGGGGCGCGAGGGAGCACTGCTGCTTGCCCACTCGCACGGTGCTGGGGTAATGAGGGGCGTGGGGAGACCGAGGGAGGGGGGAGGGGAAGGGGGGAGGGGAGAATGGAGAAACGGGGGAATTTAAAAAGGGGGACAAGGGGAACGGGGGGAAAGGAGGACAGACTGCAGGGAGAAGTGCTGAGCCAAAGCGGCAGCCTATGAGGAGCGCGAGGGAGCACTGCTGCTTGCCCACTCGCACCGTGCTGCGGGGGAGAGGGGCGTGGGGAGGGGAGGAGGGGGAGGGAAAAGGCGGAGAGGTGGGAATGGGGGAAGGGAGAAACGGGGAAAGATGGCAGGGGAAGAAGAGAGATGAAGGGGAGGAGAAGGACGCACGATAGGCGCAGCCTATGTGGGGCGCGAGGGAGCAGCGCTGCTTGCCCAACCGCACGGTTCTGGGGGTGAGAGAGAGGAGCGCGGGGCGGGGAGGAGGTGTGGGGGGGAATGGGGGAAGGGAGAAATGGGGAACAATTGGCAGGGGAAGAAGAGATGATGAAGGGGAGGAGAAGGAAAGACAAAAGGGCAGCATATGGGGGGCGTGAGGGAGCAGTGCTGTTTTCCCAACTGCACGGTTCTGGGAGGAGGAGGGGGGGCGCGGGGAGGAGGGAGATTGAGAAAAAAGGGAAAAGGGATAATGGGGTTTAGGGGGATAGGGGTTACCGGGAGGAGTGGGATGGCGGGAAAAAACGGAGTGCAGGGAGGTGGGGCAGAGGGGATCAGAAAAACACGGAGGAAGGAGCGAAGGAAAGGGGAGGGTGGACGAAGGGAGGAGGGGAGAATATGAAGGGTGGTGGGGCAGTGGAGGCGGCGAATGAGGGGAAGAGAAACTGCGAGGTACACCTGTTGCGCTGCAGCATGGCGAAGATCGCACCTGTTTCGCTGCAGCATGGCGAAAGACGCCTTTTCGCCATTCACGTCAATCAGCACCGCCATCCCCTCCCGCATCACCCCGTGCACTGTTGCCCCCTCGCCCCGTTCCTCCCCCGTCTCGTGCGCTTTTGCCCCCTCGCCCCGCTCCTCCCCCGCCTTGTGCGCTGTTGCTCCGCTCCCCGCGTTCTCCCCCGCCCCATGCGCTGTCGCCCCGCTCCCTGCGTTCCGGCCCACTTCGTGAGCCGTTTCCCCTTTTATTCCGTCGCCCCCCGTTGCTCCCCCCATCAGAATGGTGTGTCGCGTCTGACTGTTTCGAATTCTGGTCGGGTTTGGGGTTTGGGTAAGGAGCGATCCACAATCCTTATAAACGCCCAGGCCCTGCCTTAACGTATGCTCGTACCTACCTAAAGGTATGCTCGTATAAGCTCTGGCCTCACACGTTATACCTAGCTATACTAGTCTGGAAACGTAGTGTCTAGAGACTGATGTTCTATCCTGGTAGTTCACACGTGTGTTTTTTCTCACCCTGCTCAAACTTTGCACGTGGTTGTACTGTATGAGGTTTCCAAATCGTACGTTTTTGCGGTCTGATTCGTTCTGTCGTGGCGAAGAACGGTGAAATAGGAAAAGCCGATCTAAACCGTACGGAACCGTCCGTAGCCACGATTTGTGAACAATAAACAATCGAGCTCGACCCCCGCGTTCCAGTCATCGAGGGAAATGTGGCCACCATTCTCTGTTGCGAAAAACTATCGCAAAATGGTTTCGTGAATGCGAGGGTCTCGCAACCTACCTGAACCTGCCTTCCAAGCCAGAAATTTCTCGCTTTGACTTCGGTTGGGTGGATTCGTTCACCAACCATTGCCGCAACACTCGTCATGTTTGGCGCCGAAGCGAATGGGCTATTGGGACATCTTGGAACCTTGTCCGCCACGCTGGGCAGGCAGATGACATTACCTCTGCCTTGCCCTGCGCGCGCGCGACTGGCTGCAATACACATTGCCACTGAGGGTTTCCGTACGGTGTAGGTCCGTTTCAGATCGGTGGAGCGCGTTACGGTGCCACGAATGTCTTGCACATCGCGACTCGATGTGGCTGGAGGATATTTCGCGATATGCAGTGCGATAAGCTTGCAATACAGTACGGCAAATGGTGGTTCAAATTCACTAAAGCATGTGGGTGCGACTCGCTGTGGGCTTATTGTGCCAGCCAAGGCAACCAGCAATTTCGAAAACCAAGTTGTTTCAGGAGCACACGTGGTTCACCTTCGCTAGAAACCTTCCACAAACGCACGGAATGGTAAAAGAGCCGCTCTGATATGTACATCATCGCACTTCACCGCATTCAAGTAAACTCATACGCCACATCCCAGGGAGAAGTATTTATCAGATACAAACCTCAACTCGTACCAGAAACAGCAACCAGCCTCCTCTCCCGAAGTCTAGTAAATTACCTGGTCAGCACTCCCTTATTACTACTATCAGCACAAATATGGCTTTCCCCAACAGCTTCTCCGTAATCCTAGCGCTCCTCGGCCTTCTACTGCATGCCGCAGATGCAACTAACATGCCTGCTGGCGGATGCCACACTCGCTACGTCTGCCCCTACATAGACGACCTTGCTACTGCAACAATCACAGAGTCCACTTACACCGACTACAGTTTTATTGGAGATTACCAGGGGCTGTTCAACGACCAGGGCGGGCAGTTCGTGCCACACCAGCGCGGATCCGGTCCCGTCAATTACGAGCGGTACACGGAGGTGGGGACCATTTTCGACGTGGTTAAGGGCGTATATGGCGACACTCTGCAGGAGTGCTGCCGCGCATGTGCGCGCTCCACCTACTGCTACGAGTGGCATTGGTTCAAAAAGTGAGTGCGGGTTGAGTTTTTTCGAGTTTTTGCGCCAAAAACGCGCAAAGCGCGTGTGCCTATGACTGATTTCTCTCTGCCTTCCCCGCCTCTCCTGGATCCTCTCTTCCTCTCCCTCCCTCAGCTCGCGTCTCGCTGGCGAGAACGCGAATGTGGCGGGATTCATCGACCGCGTGCAGTGCTACCTGCTGGAGAAGAACGGCGGCTCGGGCACGTCGGGCTCTTTCAAGACGCCGTACGCTGGCGACGCGACCACGCAGGCCGCAAACTCGGCGTCGTACCCGCTGAGCTTCGTCGGCGGGCTCTGCAACGGCACGGCGCTCGTCGAAAACGACCCGCATCTCACGGGCGCGCACGGCACGCACTACGATTTCACCGGGCGGCTCGGTAAATCGTTCTGCCTCTTCTCCGACCGTCGATTCCACGTCAACATGCACCTGAACGGATACCAAGGCGCACCTCCCGCACTTCCCGCGTCGGCGAAGTCGAGTGAGTCGAGCACAGAGCTGCACACGTGGATAAAGGAGGTCGGCGTGGTCTGGATGACGCCCGACGGCGCGAACCACACGCTGCGCATGGTTGCGCGCAAGGGCAAGCAGCAGGAGCGCGGGGAGAATGGCTTTCTGTCGCTGATCGAGGTGGACGGAGCGGCGACGGAGATTCCAGCGTTGGCGAGTCGATCGCGACGGAAAGCGGGCTGGTGGTTACCAAAGTCGCGGAGGAGAAGGAGGGGCCGTTCGACGTGGATCAGTTCCAGGTGCGCGTGGCGGGGCTGGGGGAACTGGATGTGCGCGTGCGCGTGGCGCATCCGCTGCTGCAGACGCCGACCGAGGCGGAGACGCACTTCAACGTGGAGCTTTCCGACGTGGCGATGACGTCATCCGTGCACGGCGTGCTGGGGCAGACTTTTAGGACCTCGCCGGAGCAGCTGCAGCGCGCGGTGAAGTACTCGCACTTGGCGGCGCTGCTGCACCACCCCGTGGACGTGGATAAGGCGGAGGGCAAGGGGTTCCTGGACGGCGAGGTCGAGGACTACATCTCCTCGTCAATCGTCGCGCCCGACTGCAAATACGCCAGCTACGGCTCTGCATAAGGAGGGTCACCAGCTGTTACGCCACCCGAGGAGGTTTCAACTGCGAGTGGCTTCCCGCAGACGTCGCGAGCTAAGTGATGGTAGATCTGGATGAGCAAAATTGGCGGATTGGTTATGGGAAGCTTCCTTGGCTGAGTGAGAAACCGGTGTAAGGGCGGAACTGGGCGCTGCTGTTGCCATGCACCTAGCCTACTGCTGCCTACAAGGCTAATAAGGGCTCCGCCCTACTATTGTGTATTCGTGCCGATTGAGTAATGTGACTATCAAAGGCTTCATTTTGAAAGCACAAACATCCCACGGCGAAATGGGTACGCAGGCATACTGTGGAAGCTGTGTCGCGAGAGTATCGGCGAGAGGTTTGGTGCTGCGAAATTGCAGGCAATACTGAATGCAAGAGTCGAGAACAAGACCAAACCAACTTTCTGCCTAATCTTTGCGAAAACCAGCCTGCGATGCGACTATTCCGAAACTTTCGCGCGAGATGCTATTTGGAGGGAGCGATTCGGTTGTGGTACCGTTGCGACGTGCCACTGCCGTTGTCGTGTAACCCCACTCGAAACAAAACGTGCGTGATGTTACATGTACATGCACTTGCGTTATTTGTGCGGTACCAATAAGGCGTACAGAACAGGGTATTAGGGTTACACTAGCCTGAATGAAATTGCTGCGAAACGAACACATTTCGGTACGGGGGAGGTTTGTACAGTATAGAGGGAACAAACACTTCACAGAGACTAACTTCGAGCGCGTTCTTCTCGAATCATCATCGATATCCGTTTTTTTTGCGGCCTAACCGCCATGGCGCCGCCACTCGCTCTTCTCTCCTCGCTGCTGCTACTTCTCCAGTTGACCGGCCTTTCGTTTCCGCCATTTGCGGCGGCAGAACCGAGAAGCGGCGGGACGATGACAGTGGGGGTGGTGGGAGATTCGAACCAGATGGAGCGAATAGCAATGCTGCATAAGGCACGTTGGCCCGCCGCCACCGCCTTCCCCCGCCCGCGCCTTTAACCGCCCGCTCCTTCACCCGCCCACTCCTTCACCCACCCGCTCCTTCCCCCGCCCGCTCCTTCCGCCGCCCGCTCCTTCCCCCGCCCGCTCCTTCACCCACCCGCTCCTTCCCCCGCCCGCTCCTTCCGCCGCCCGCTCCTTCCCCCGCCCGCTCCTTCCCCTGCCCGCCCCTTCCCCTGTCCACGCCTTCCTCCCCCCCACCTCCTCCCTTCTCCCCCCACCCCCTTCTCCTGCCCGCGCCATTCCCTGCTGGCGTCTTCCCCTGTCCATGCATTCCCTCCCCTGTCGGCGCCTTCCCCCTGCCCGCGCCTTCCCCTACGCTCAACTTCCCTCCCTCCCCTGCCCTTGCCTTTCTTCTCGCATAACTCGTCCATGCCACCGTCTCTTCCTGCCCCTGTCTATTCCTGCCCCCGTCTATTCCTGCCCCCGTCTATTCCTGCCCACATGCACGCATGGGCAGTTCGTCACAGACTGGATCCCCCCTCTCTGCTGCCGCCCAATTCCATCTCTCTTCCACAGGGACCCTCCCCAACCCTAAATATCTTACTCCATCTCATCATGATTCCCATCTCATGCTCCCCATCGCATGCTCCCCATCTCATGCTCCCCATCTCATGCTCCCCATCTCATGCTCCCCATCTCATGCTCCCCATCGCATGCTCCCCATCGCATGCTCCCCATCTCATGCTCCCCATCTCATGCTCCCCATCTCATGCTCCCCATCTCATGCTCCCCATCGCATGCTCCCCATCGCATGCTCCCCATCTCATGCTCCCCATCTCATACTCCCCATCTCGCCCTGCCCACATGCAGGCATGGCAGTCAGCCTACGGTCTGGGCTCCTCCTCTCTGCTGCCGCCCAAAACCATGTACCTCCTGCGCAACCTCCCTCATGGGGCAACCCAATCTCACCATCCCCATTCTACCCTACCCTCCTCTGGGCCCCTCCCTTCGCCTTTCTTCCCGCATGCAGGCATGGCAGTCAGCCTACGGGCTGGACTCCCCCTCTCTGCTGCCGCCCAAGACCATCTCCCTCGCGCACAACCTCCCGCCGCCCGCCCACCTGGAGGACTGCACCGCCCGCACATCGGCCAGACAGGGCGCCGAGCGGGCCGGGGCGGCGTGGGCGGTGCCGGGCGGCAACGGCTCGTCCTGTTGTGGATGCTCCCCACAACCACCATGGGTGCGTGCGTGGGTGGGTGCGTGGGTGCGTGGGTGCGTGGGTGGGTGGGGGTGGTTGGCTTGGTGCCCAATCAAAGTGGTCGTAGGAATCATTGAGGGTCTGAATGGTTAAGCTGGTCTCGATTTTGGGTTTAATGTTTAGAATATGGAGTTTAAGGAAGGTATGTGAGGTGTGCGGGCCTAAATTCCCCTCCCCCAGATGTACGGGCCGCATGACAGCAACCAGTGAGTCAGATAGCAGGGCAGCTCCCTTCTCCCCTCCCCTCCCCTCTCCCCTCTCCCCTCTCCCCTCTCCCCTCTCCCCCATATTCCCCACCTTCCCCCGAGCCCCCCCTTCCCTCCCTCCCGTTCCTCCTCTTGATCCTCCCCTCCGCCAGGTGTACGGCGCTGATGACAGCAGCCTAGCGATGACACGCTCAGTGCAGCGGGACACAGCAACCTCTTCCCGGGGCTCCTGTGATGTCAGGCGCCTGCTCATTGTGCTGTTGTGTGTGTGATGTCAGGCGCCTGCTCATTGTGCTGTTGTGTGTGTGATGTCAGGCGCCTGCTCATTGTGCTGTTGTGTGTGTGATGTCAGGCGCCTGCTCATTGTGCTGTTGTGTGTGTGTGCTCCTCCATCTTCATCCCCCCCACCCTCCCCCAGGTGTACGGCCCTGACGACACCAATCTGGCCCTCACGCGCACGGTGCAGCGGGACATCTGGCGCTCGCAGTTCCCCCCGGGTTCCTGTGACGGAAAACGCCTGCTCATTGTGCCCTGGGTGCTGGAGAGTGGTTCGGAGGGGTTGGGAAGTTTGGAGGGGCTGGCTCTGCAGGTGCATGTGATGGGTGCGGTGCTGGGGTTGGCGGTGGAGACGGGGCGAGTGCTGGTCCCACTCTCCGGTTCCTTCAGCCATGCCAACAACTCCGCCTGCAAAGGTCAGTCTCTCATTGATCTCCTGTGCCATAATCTGATCTGATTCGCATTCGCACTCATTTATTCGTGGCTTGTATCGGGAGTGCTGCTGGGGCTTGTATCGGGAGTGCTGCTGGGGCTTGTATCGGGAGTGCTGCTGGGGCTTGTATCGGGAGTGCTGCTGGGGCTGGCGCTGGCGACAGGGTGCGAAAGGAATCTCGTTGATTCTGCAAAAGAGAATCCGCATGCACACGTGTGCTGCATGCGACGGTCTGAACTGAAGGCAACTCTTATGCTTCTTCTCCTCACACCACCTCCTTTCCATCAACCACCTCCTTTCCATCAACCACCTCCTTTCCATCAACCACCTCCTTTCCATCAACCACCTCCTTTCCATCAACCACCTCCTTTCCATCAACCATCTCCGTTTCCCTCTCTTCGTCTCCGCTGCCCCTCCCCAACTCCTTCCCACCCTCCCGCCATCCATCCATCTAGCCATAGGACAGCAGAGCTGAGCCATAGGACAGCAGAGCAGAGCCATAGGACAGCAGAGCCATAGGACAGCAGAGCTAGTGCGATTGTTTCTTCTCCCCCACCACCACGCCCTTTTCCTTTTTCAACCATCTCTTCCCCCTTTCAGCCTCCCCTCGTTTCCTCCCTCCCTCCCTCCCTCCCTCCCTCCCTCCCTCCCTCCCTCCCTCCCTCCCTCCCTCCCTCCCTCCCTCCCTCCCTCCCTCCCTCCCTCCCTCCCTCCCTCCCTCCCTCACCCCCTCCATCTAGCTGTGGGCCAGCAGGGCCAGTGGGGTGCTACTTCTCCCCCATCGCCTCCTCCGACTGTGCCAAGCACGCACAGAAGGAGATGCAGAGCGGTTCACTGCGGTCGCGGTGCAGCGGCAAGCACATTCGCAACGTGGCTCTATCAGCGGAGCCCATTGTCTGTCTGCACCCCGACTTTGACCACAACGAGCTCAAGCTGCACGCTGCTGTCGTCACGTAGGTGTATTCGTGCGTGCGTGCGTGCGTGCATGCGTGCGTCTGTCTGCACCCCGACGTTGACCACAACGAGCTCAGGCTGTATGCTGTTGCCTCAACAACCAGCCTTCTGATTTGCGTCATTCTCTCCCACTCACCTGTTCCTTCCTCCACAGCAAATGGGGAGCGCCTCACTTGCAGCGTCCAGATACACTGTATCGTCCAACATGCCGGCCCCCCACTCCTGACAACCCCTCCCTCTCCGTGCCTCAGGTGCGTGTGCTTGTAGCCACGCTGTAACCAGTATGCATGTAACCATACTGTATGCTTGTAACCACTCTATGCTTGTAACCACTCTGTATGCTTGTAACCACACTGCATGTTCACATTGGATGCATATCAACCACGTGCCACTCATCATCCCTCTGCGTTCGCAACTTTCCTCCCTTGTTATCTATCCTCACCTGCTTCTCATCCCGTTGCATTCCATCCCACTCCATCCCTCTCCACCGCGCTCCTCTGCTATCCACTCATGCAGGTGCGTTGGTGGCGGGCCCAGGCCACCCGATTCCTCATGCGCTGGCCCTCCCTGCATCTCTGCCACGTCACCAACCTCATCCGCCACGTCAGCATCAGCCACCACGTGGCTGCCAGGCTGGCATTCTTCGAGGACACGCAGGCGGAGATCATAAGAGACGTGGCTGCTGACACGGCAGGGGAGGGCGCCAGGTCAGACGTGAGGAAGAGCAAACAAGCTAAGGAGCTACAAGGCATGGAGTTGGGTAAGGGGGTGGAAATAGAGAGTGTCAGCAAAGCTTCTTGGGCTACTATAGGGGGAAGGTGCAGTGTGTGTGAGGAGGAAGGGTGGAAAGGGGAGGTGATGGGAGGGGATGGGGAGGTGGGAGAGAGCTGGGATATGCAAGCAGGGGTGAGTAGTGCTAATGTGAAGAAGGCTGGGTTGGAGAAGAAAGAGAAGCACGTGCTGTACTACGTGCAGAAGCACAACAATCTCGTGGTTGGGGTGGGTCGAGAGGCGTACGTCATGCGGCCACTAGCGAGTCTGATTATAGGGGGTACGTCTGAAGAGGGAAAGGGAACAGCAGGTGGAGTCGGAGGAGAGGTGGGGACGGAGGTGGAAGGGAGAAGATTAGAGGAGGAAGAGGATGAGGGTGTGCAGGAAGAGGGTGGTGCAGAGGTGAAGGCTGGAGCAAGCATTGGGACAGCAGGAGCAGGAGGAGCAGGAGCAGGAGGAGGGGGAGGAGCAGGAGGAGCAGGAGCAGGAGGAGGGGGAGGAGGGGGAGGAGCAGCAGGAGCAGGAGCAGGAGCAGCGAGGGGGAGGAGCAGGAGCAGGAGGAGGGGGAGGAGGGGGAGGAGCAGGAGCAGGAGGAGGGGGAGGAGGGGGAGGAGCAGCAGGAGCAGGAGCAGGAGCAGCGAGGGGGAGGAGGGGGAGGAGCAGCAGGAGCAGGGGCAGGGGCAGGGGGAGGGGGAGGAGGGGGAGGGGGCAGGGAGAGTGGCAAGCTGAGCGCGCTCATGCATCACGTGCATCAGCTGCGACTGCTGGAACCCCACCTCGCCCACGTGTGGCTGCACACGCCCTCCCAGGTCAGTGGTCTCTCAGGTGGGTCCTCTCTCAGGTGGGTCCTCTCTCAGGTGGGTCCTCTCGCAGGTGGGTCCTCTCGCAGGTGAGCAGGTTGGAGCACTGGTTGCTCACCACTCGTTTTCTCTACTGGACTCCTTATGCTCTCTTCATTCACTCCACCTGCACGCCACTCCACCTGCACGCCACTCCACCTGCACGCCACTCCACCTGCACGCCACTCCACCTACCCCGCCGGCGGCGACCCTCTTGCATCCACTCTACCTAGTTGCTCGGCGCCTGCCCTGCCCCCATTTGCACCCTACCATCCCCACTCTCCCATCCCCCCCCCCTCTCGATTCTCACACCATACACCCCCCACTCCCTCCCCTCTGTTGCTCAAAACCTTTCCACCAGGCTCTATTAACCAAGGCATCCAACTACCATGATTGGACGTTCCTCCATTCCACCAATCGGACAAGTCCTGACGCACTCCAAGACTCAGGAGCAGCAGCAGAGCCAGCAGCAGAAGCGAGGGCGCTGGCAAGTCTACTGGTGGCGGCTCAGGGGGATTTCTTTGTGGGCGGGCTCGGGTCGCACTGGGGAAGGCTGGTCAATGAGTTGCGGTCCACTAATGGCCGCCTCTTTAATGTGTTTGTTGCCATGGATGATGACGAATGGTGATACCGTATTCTCCCGGATATAGGACCCTCCCGAAAAAAAGACCCCCGGGACTTTTGAACGGTACTGGGACTCTTAATATGTAGCATATGTGAGAGGACCCCCCCTGTGCCTATAATCATTTTAAGACCCCCCTTACCTGTTTACATCTGTTGAAAATGAATATGCGCGTCAGCTTTTAGAGGCACAAAATCCGAATTCTGACACGTCATTTGTGTGAGACTGGAGTTCTGACACACTAACCACATCAGATACAAAATCTGACGCTTATGACGAGCCGCGTGCGCGAATTTCGCGCATGCGGGGTGTTTTTTGTCAAGAATAGTAGCCTTAGGGTATATACAGCAAGCAGGGTATATAACAAAACTTAACACACCCCCTTAACCTGCTTGCCGTGATAACTAGTACAGGTACACGTGGCGCAGCGGAAGAGGGTAGAGAGGTTAGGAAGGAGGAGGAGGTGAGAGGAGAGGAGAGGAGAGGAGAGGAGGGAAGAGAGAGAGGGATGAGGAGAGGTGGGGGGCCAGGAGCGGCGGACCCGCTTACGAACCTCAGTTTACAAAGGGGGTTGGGGAGGAGTGAGGGAAAAGGAGAGAAGGTGGGGGGCCAGGAGCGGCGGACCCTCTTAAGAACCTTCAGAAGGTGGGGGGCCAGGAGCGGCGGACCCTCTTAAGAACCTTCAGAACTCAACTCAACTCAACCACCCCCCTTTAACCTCACTCCATGAATCTGCCATCCCCCCAATGCTCACCCTCACACTCCAGTCAACTTCACTATCACCACCCCCTCACCTTCTGCACTTCTCTCCCCCCCCCCCCCCCCCTTCTCTACGGCGACAATCCCTGCAGTAAGAGAGAGGGGAGGGACGGGCTGCAGGCAGCTCACACACGCCACCCACACATCTCCCCCTCCTCCCTCCCCACGACGGAAGCAGCGGAAGGGAGGGCGGGCGGGGGGGGGGGGGGGGCGGGGCGGCGGTAGCTGCTGCTGGCGCTGGCGGTGGCGCTGGCTGGTGCGCAGGCGCGAGCGGCTGGCCGCGGTGCTGGCGTCCGCGCTGACGGGCCACGCTCGCGCTGGCGCCTGCGGTCCGGGCTGGCGCGGGCGCTGGCGTCCATGCTGGTGCTGGCGCCCGCCGGCGCTGGCGTCCGCGGCGACGAAACGGGGGGCCCCGGCGCGTCGAAACGGGTGGCCGCGGGGCGACGAAACGGGGGGGGGCCGCGGGGCGACGAAACGGGGGGCCGCGGGGCGACGAATCGGGGGCCGCGGGGCGACGAAATGGGGGGCCGCGGGGCGACGAATCAGACGGGCGCAGGGCGCGACGGGACGAAGAAAATAGCGCATTTCGCGCTGCATTAAGGGCGGGCCCATGTTTCTGAAAAAAAAATGAAGGTTCTAGGAAAGAACCAGCTCTGAAACCATGTCAAGAATAGTAGCCTTAGGGTATATACAGCAAGCAGGGTATATAACAAAACTTAACATTTTTCGCTTTGAACATAAGACCCCCCCCCCCCCCCCCCTTCCCCCGCCCCCCCAAATTCAAGTGTACACCCCTAAATCGCATAAATGTACTTGATTATGAAGTGTACCCGGAACTCTTACAACTCGTGCCGATTAAATGTTCACCCTAGTCATTTTGCCTCTATTTTAGGAAAGTCCCCCGGGTCTTATATCCGGGAGAATACGGTAGTTACCAGTGGTTGCTTGCACAACCAACGGGTGTTCCTTGACCCACATTTTGGTTGTTGTAGTGATAGGTATGTGCAAACCATGCTGTTGTAGTGATGCCAATATCGTAGCCAATCATCATCTGGATCTTAGTTTTGGCTGTCGCAATATGTGTGTTGAAGTAAATGTCAAACTATGCATATTGTGTTTGTGTAGGCTGCTAGTGGGGTAGCCCATATGGGGTACAACCCAATGTTAGGGTTAGCTTATGTACCCAACTCTTGATCAATGCATTCATTCTTGTCTCTAGATTCTGACATGGTTTCAGAGCAGTAGGTCCGTAGGACCGTTTTTTTCGGGCCCACCTACCGCTACCCCACGCCTGTGCCTCTGCCTGTGACGTGCTGCGCTGCGCGCGCCGTCTGCCTGTAGCCTACTGCCTGCTGCCTACTGTGTTGTCTGCTGCTGCTACCGCGCAGACCTAAGTCACGCACGCTGCCCGCTGCTGCCTCAAGCGTCGCCCTCGCTGCTCGCGCCGCTCTGCTGCCCCTCACACGCCGTCAGCGCAGCGCACAGCCCCCAGCGAGCCGCGTGCAGCCCCGTCGAACCGCGTGCAGCCCCGTCGAGCCGCGCGCAGCCCGGATTTGCCGCGCGCAGCCCCCGCCGAGCCGCGCACAACCCCGTCGAGCCGCGCGCAGCCCCGTCGAGCCGCGCGCAGCCCGTTTTCTGCTGCGCGCAGCCCCGTCGAGCCGCGCGCAGCCCGTTTTCTGCTGCGCGCGGCCCCGCCGAGCCGCGCGCAGCCCGCTGCTGCCGCGCGCGACCCCCCCCCGAGCCGCGCGCAGTCCCTGCCGAGCCGCGCGCGGCCTGCTGCTGCTGCGCGCGGCCTGTTTCTGCCTCCCGCAGCCCGCGCTCGGCCCACAGCAGCCCCGCGCGCTGCCCTGCATAGCCTGCAGCTGCATCGGCCCCGACCTTCCGCTGCTGCGGCCCCTCGCTGCTGCTGCCGAGGCTCCGACCTGACGCTGAGGCGGCCCCCACTCTGCGTCTGCCGCTGAAGCAGCCCCCCCTCCCTGCAGTTGCTGCGGCCCTACTCTACTGTCGCTGTTCCGGCCCCATCGCAGCTGCGGTCGTGCGCCTACTCGGCCCTGCTCGCCCGGCGAGCACCTGCCCTTCCAGCCTTTGGTGAGCACCTGCCTGCCTGCCTGCCTGCCTGCCTTTCGGCCTGCCTGCCTGTCTTTTTGCCTGCCTGACTGCCTGCCTGCCAGCCTGCCTGCCTGCCTGCCTGCCTGCCTGTCGGCTTGCCTGCCTGCCTGCTGGCCTGCCTGCCTGCCTGCCTGCCTGCCTGTCAGCCTGCCTGCCTGCCTGCCGGCCTGTCTGCCTGTCGGCCTGCCTGCCTGCCTGCTGGCCTGCCTGCCTGCCTGCCAGCCTGCCTGCCTGCCTGCCTGCCTGCCGGCCTGTCTGCCTGTCGGCTTGCCTGCCTGCCTGCTGGCCTGCCTGCCTGCCTGCCTGCCTGTCTGCCTGCCTGCCTGCCTGCCTGCCTGCCTGCCTGCCGGCCTGCCGCGCCTGCCCTGCCCGAGCTGCTGCTGCTACTAGCTATTAGCAAGGGACCAGATGCAGCTCCAGCGACGCTCACGCGAGTCTCTCACGCCCCAGCAGCTTAGTGAGTGGTATACTAGTTGGGGCTGTCGCGGTAGCCGTCGTAGCTGTCGCCCTGGAGCTGGTCAGTTGGGGGCCTCTAGCAGTGGCCAGCTGCAGCTGCAGCGGCGTCCACGCGAGACACTTACGTCTCGGCAGCTCGAGGAGTGGTACGCTCAGAGTAGAGGGTCTTTCAGTCCAGTGCGCTGCCGGTACGTCATTCGCACAGGTGATCGAGCTGGTCAGACCTGCGGGACGCCTGGTCACACACAGTCCCGCTGCTTCGCCCGCCTGAGCGACGCCTGGCGTACCGAGTTTGGTGACGAGGCTGAGCTCCCCACCTGGCTGGAGCTGCTTAGCCAGAGGATAGATATCTTTGCTCTTGACTATGATGCTATTCTCACTGCTATGTATGCATTGCCTACTAGTGCTGACCGAGCCTGTTACCTGTGCGTACCGCCTGACCCAGGTATAGAGCCTGCTGCTCTCGGTGCTGGTGAGGCTGCTGCTCTAGGTGCTCGTGCGTCGCCTGCTCTAGGTGCTGGTGAGGCTGCTGCTCTCGGTGCTACTGCGTCTTCTGCTCTAGGTGCTGGTGAGGCTGCCGCCCCAGGTGCCTGTGAGTCTGCTCTCTCTGGTACTGCGCCTGCTGCGGCCTTGCACACCTTCACCCTTGACTCAGGAGCTTCCCGCTCCTTCTTTCGCGACTGCACCACACTCACGCCGCTTAGTCGGCCGGTTGCAGTCTCCCTGGCGGACCCCTCTGGGGGTCCTGTCGTTGCCCGCTACTCCACGGTTTTGCCGTGTCCGGCCGTCCCATCTGGCGTGCTGTCAGGTCTCTACCTCCCCTCGTTCTCTACGAACTTTGTGAGTGGAGATGACCTCCAGGATGGGGGAGTTGACCAGTTCACTCCTGCGGGTCAGCGGGTGACTCACTGTACGTGTGCTCGGACGGGCCGCCACCTGGCCACGTTTACCCGTGCGCCTGGCTCGAGTCTGTACACACTGACCACTGCGGCCCCTCAGGTAGCTGCGTCTGCGTCTGCGTCAGGTCAGCTGTCGGCCCCCTGCGAGTGTCGTGCTTTGTCGCACCAGACCCTCCTGTGGCACCACCGCCTTGGTCACCCCTCGGTGCAGCGCCTTCGTGGCATGCACTCTCGCTCTCTGGTTTCTGGTCTCCCCAGGACTCTGCCTGCCCTCCCTCCCTCGCCTGCGCCTCCTTGCATTCCCTGCGTCGAGGGGCGGCAGCGCGCCGCTCCTCACTCCTCCTCGTTCCCTCCCACAGAGGCTCCCCTGCAGACTCTCCACCTGGACGTGTGGGGCCCAGCCCGCGTCCGTGGACAGGGCCACGAGCGGTACTTCCTGCTGGTCGTCGACGACTTCACGCGTTACACCACGGTCTTCCCCTTGCGCAGCAAGGGGGACGTCCCTGATGTTTTGATCCCTTGGATCCGCGCTGTTCGTCTCCAGCTCCGCGAGCGGTTCCAGCGGGACTTTTCTGTCCTGCGTCTGCACTCTGACAGAGGCGGTGAGTTCACCTCAGACCTCTTGGCAGCCTACTGTGCGGAGCACGGCATCACCCAGTCGTTCACGCTTCCGGCCTCTCCGCAGCAGAATGGGGTTGCTGAGCGCCGCATTGGCTTAGTCATGGAGGTCGCTCGTACCTCCATGATCCATGCGGCTGCCCCCCATTTTCTGTGGCCGTTTGC